ATAGAGTAGAGGCATCATTATTTTTCACTGTTCATCCATAAGCTTATCAAAGATTGACAATCAGCAGTGAAGGAATGCTGCTCTTCCGAGTGGGGTTTTTTTTTAGTGGGTTTTTTAATGTAAGTGTTTTTACGAACCGATCGACACAATTTATATCATTTGGGAGGCGGGCATCCGACTCTGCTTGTAACGGCCAACCCAGGCTGAGATCTCGAAGGATGCAACATTCCAACGGAAAGACGGAGATACTCGATTTTCAAAAAATTCTATCAACACGGAACCGAGCTCGGGTCTCCTGCGTGCTACAGCAAAGTCCTAAACCACTACACCACAGACGCCTGTTTACTTTTGGAGAAGTCAGGTGAGAAGGATTAAGGTGGGAGAGAAAATGATCCACTGTTCATCCATCTATAAGCTCATCAAAGTGTGTCAATAGTGAAGGAAACAAGGGAATAATAAAAGGACTTAACAGGCTGCCACGCTGTATCTCCCTATTGGAAATAGAGCTTATGATCTAGATAGAAAAGGCGTGGCCGGAGAGTCATAACGAAGCCGTGCGACTATTCATTCAGTGGCGACACACTCAAACCACTCTCAAACATATATTAGTTTGAAAATCGGCAAAGACGGTAAAAAGTAAGTGCCCCTATCAACACTATAGGGTTATTTGAGATCCACCAACAGTCATGGCAGCATTGACATCATGGCTCAACGACCACGGAGAAGATGAAGGCACCACAACACACACAATGGAAAGACTGAGGGGAGATGGTGTCTCTAAAGGGTCGGAGAGAGACAGCAACCTGCGTGGAAAAGCCACAAGAAATACAACCAGCTGATAACTGGCACGATCAGCAAGCAGACCCTTTCATGGATCCTGGAGATGAGGGAGGAGCAACTGTGGCATTGTGCCGCCTGCAATAACGCCTATTCTCCAACCAAGCAAGTAACCAAGTAGGTAAGAGGCAGGACCTCCAAATTTAACCCTTTCCGCAGTGACATATTTCATACTTTAATCGAAGTGACTGGGTGTATTACATCCCCACACTCTGATTTAGAGAAATGTCCACATAGATCTGAAACCTAATGGCTGGGTGCGTTACACAGGACCAAACCACAAATAGGTTGCCTTGATAACTCCACGAAACAATCCGAGTTCAGGAACGCCTAGTCTAGGATTCAAACCACGGCCATCATCCCGTCTGTAGTACAGCAAGATTCCAACTGAGGTAGCAGAGCGCCCAAGAAGAGGTGCATCCATAATACAATGTAACAAGCGCATTGAGTTTTGTAACAACGATATCTGGTAGCCAAAACATAGCTATAACCACGAGTCCTTGGCTTTTGTATAATTATTTTATTTGTTTTAGTCCGAATTTTAGGCACTTGAAAAACAGCGAAGATTAGGCATTATAAAAGAAAGAAAAGTAGGAGATATTATAAAGATGACAGATGTTTGAAAGGGAAGATTAAAAGAAGGAGCAAACCACACCAAAACGCGACCAACCACGCACTGTTTCGAATGGTTGACATTGCGCCCTTCAAGTACTTAGCCTTTGACAGGATAATACTTAGACAAACAATGCAGCCCCTCTCCACATCCGGGAAAGAAGATTGAGAGAGGAGGAGGAGAGAAGAGTAGGAGGAGAGAGAAGAGAGGGGAGGAGAAGGGGTAGAGAGATGGAGAATGGTAGATGATAGATAAATAGAGAGAGACATAGAGAGAGTGAAAATGAGAAGGAAAACAAGAGAGAAAAGACAAATAATCAGAGAGAGAGTGAGAGAGAGAGAGAGAGAGAGAGAGAGAGAGAGAGAGAGAGAGAGAGAGAGAGAGAGAGAGAGAGAGAGAGAGAGAGAGAGAGATGTTGGCTACACAGTCGGGCAGAAGGACTGAGCCAGGCAGGGCGTAATCTCCGGACACCGGGTGTCCGTCTGTCGCTAATTAGCCACAGGTCCTGCACTATGCCAGCAAGTGGACGTAGTGTCACCCAGTTCATCGTTGATATCACTATACAGTCGAATAGACTCTAACGGCCACCTGTATAAGGCAATCACCTGTAAAATTCCTCACTGGCGTATTTTCTAATATTATAATGTCGTTTTTTTCACATTACGACACTGGTAAGACGATCACCTGTACAAGCGATAATTTCCCACTTCCTCACTTGCGTATTTTAAAATTTTAAATATATTTTTAAAACATTTTGAAACAGTGAAAGACGATCACCTGACTATTACAGCCACTTTTTCTCCTCCACTACAACGGGTGGCTGTCTTAAAAAATTGTGACTGTAGACATGCTGACCAGCGGGATCCTCTTTCATGACATAGTACAAACGTGTCACTGGCACCAGCTACATTCTTTCACGTTGATTTTCTTTCAACAAAATGAGATATGCTTCTTCAACTTTTGTAAATTGTAAGAGTTTTTTGCCCAAATTAGGCGTATAAATGCTGAAGATTGGACGTGTTACTAGAGGTAACATACACACAAAAAAAGGAGGAGGGGGTGGGAAGAGATCAGGACGATAGATATTTGATACGAAAGAAAGGAGATAATGCTTCCTCCAGAGACGGAAGAATTATTACTACTTTGGAGAAACATTTGACAATGTAAAGAACAGGAGAGAAATGGCGTCAATAGTGGACAGGGAAATGCACATCTGACTAAAGAATCAACCAGTAAATCATCAGCAGTAAAGACCCAAAATATGAATCATTTGAAGACCAGAGAAGATGCATGATATGAACATAAGAATGCACACAAACGGTGTGCTCAAGAAGTTAAGGGTAACAACAACAACCCCCCACCCCTCCCCCCC